TTTGCATACGAGTGATTGTCCGTCGCCATCCGTATCAACTTTCTATTTTTTTGACTTCTTGAAAACTACAATGTGATTAATTTTATACTTGGTGTAGACCTCATGATAGCTTCAATTCTCTAATTTTGGTGAATATTTTTGTCAATTTGGGTGAAAAGTGATATTTTCAACTTCTTGTTGAAAACCACAAAGCTGATTGCTTTGATATTATACATATAGGTACTACAGGTGGACCTCTCACAGATTTGTTCATTTCATGGTGGAATCTTCAATTCTTTAATTTAAATGTGCATTGCTAACAGCCGAGCTATCTCAGACAAGAGGCTGCTTGTTTAATAATTAATTTTATCTTATTTTTTTCAACATCTCATATCGATAAGCATGACCATTAATAGACTGGCAAAGTCGGAACTTCTTTTTTGTTTTACAGAAAAGTATAATTAATCCCCTGCGTTGGAGTGAAAACTGAGTGGAATCACTCCGGTTGATTATGCTAATTAAAAGTTGTTGACTTAGCATTGACAACGAATCAGAGCTCAGCTACTAGTATATATGTCATATCTTATCTATGTTAATGTACGTGATCATTCACTTCTGAGGTCCTGGCGATTTTGAAAGACTACTTATATACAATGGACATTTAAATCGACTTGTTTTCAGTAAACATGGATGAAAAATATCGCTTTCGCAATTAGAAAGTTGAAGTATCCATCTCTGCGATTGAATCGAACCAACCTTTAAAAGGTCACGTTTACTTTCACACACTCGCTCATGAATAATCATTGACATGAATAATTAATAGCAGTCAAATGCCTGCAGATGCGTCCAGTCAGGATTTCTTTAGCGGTCAGGTTAGTTTTCGTGATCACGCTAAAAGTACTAAAAGAAAAATTAATTATTTCTCTTTGTAAAACAAAAAAGAAGTCTTGACTTTGCCAGTCTAGACTATTAAGAGTAATAAATCAAAGTAAAAGAAACCAAATTGCGCTGAACGACATAATTTTTATGCTGAAGGTGGTAAGTAGTGGACTGTGATTATCCATAATATATAGAATAGAATAGAATAATGCTTTATTTCATCCTTAATGAAATCTTACATTTCAGTTTTGGTAATTGCTGTATTAAAGCTTTTGAAAATAAACTACACATACAACACAATAATATATTGCACCAATAAGCATTACCATTGGTCTAGCAGGAGGATTGGTGATGAACAATTTATTTCAAAACCATATAAATTGATTGAACATCATTTATTGTAAATGACAATAAAAATAAAATACAAAAAAAAATATTGAAACCTCGAAAAAAAATTTTTTTGTGAGGAATTATTTTATTGTTAAAGTACATACCTCGACTGTTATTAAAATAAATAACTTGCATTATAAATATTGAATGGAATATGATGATGACACCAAAAACAATTAGTGACAGTATAATGTATATGGTTACCATGGAAACTTAGCTGTTTGTCACAGATTGCATTTCCAGGGTACCCACAATAACATTCAGTAAGTACATGTATACTTATTAT